TTTTTTTTTTGTTTCATCTTGGTTGGTTCATATTTTAGCCTCTATTAAAGTTACGTAGTGGTTCCTCCCTTTTTTCAAAACCGCTTTTTTCAAAATCACTGTTTGCCGTCACTCCACCCTCAATYTGACTACGTCCAACCACGTTCCCTGCAAGCTGTGACCACGCCCACTCTATGTCCAACCCCGCCTATTATCCAAGCCCGCCCCGTTCCGCAGTCCGCAGCTGGGGGGTACTTGGCATTTTCTTTAATTTTGCGGGGTGTTATTACAGAGAGCAAAAACCTGAACTTGTTACTTAATTGAACTTACGGTTTAAAGTTTCCCACTTCAATACAACCTCATGCACAGTTAATGATAAAACATAAATCAAAAAGGTTTAAAGCTCAGGTTTGCTTTATGAAACCCAGAGGTTGATAAAGGCTACAAATCTTTACTTAAACCTACAGGGACTTTCTCCAGTATCTTCTTCCTCCAGATGCTCTAAGGCTGTCACAAAATCATCCTCAATTGATGAGACTGATTGGTTGGTGTCATCTTCCTCTGGCTGGTTGGATTCAGGTGTACCTCTGTGAAGAGCCTGAAGCTCAAGCAGGTAGTGAAACCCTGCCACGTAGCACCCCAGCAACCCCATCAAAGATGTGACAGTAGTTTGTGTGGAGGGGCAGGAATTATGCCTTAGAACACACAGAGCCTTTAGCCAACACTGCAAGAACAAAAATTAAATAAAAACAGTATTAGAAGTAAGAAAAACAAATTTAAAACATGAGTATTTGTGATGAATATAGAATCTAAGAAAGGTTAAGGGGTTCATGTTCTGCAGTCACTTGGACAGACCAGCTGTTATTGGGAAATACTTCACTTTGTTACATTACATAAGGGGGGAGGGGGGCAGGCTAAAATATGCACTGTTATGGCTGTGCTTTTGTTGTGAATTGTCAAAATTCAAAATAAGTTTCTGCAAAGCCACACTATATAATCCAAATCAGTGGGAGGTCTCACTGTCTGAAATGGACAGCAAACCCACAGACTGAGCTGCAGGGCCTCTGTGAACCCAAACAAGGCCCACAGAACCAGGAAGAACAAAGCTCCAAGAGTGGGCTGCAAAAACAACATTTGTCAGTCTGTCCCACCTGTGTTTCTCCAAAGCGTGAGAAAGAGTCGACTTTTYTGTTGCACAGACATGACCAACAAGCAGGAAAATATTTTATTTAACAACTGCCAATATTTTGGGTCACAGGAAACAGTAAATGGAAAGGCTTTCTCATACCACTGTAATTATTGGCTGCTGCCAAATATGAAAGGACAATAACGTCTTTGCCTGTGTCTGYTTAACTGTAATCAGCAAAATATCTCACAAAGATTTTAATTAAACTTTTAAAAGTACTCATTAGATTARCATCTACAACTGATTAACTTTTAGRATCAAAAAGTTTCAAGAYGGGCCTTCTAATCAGTCAAATTATTAGTCTGGGAAATAATCTGCCATTGTACAGAGGACTATAAACAGAATATGAAAAACAGATGCAAACAGGTTTCCCATCTTTATGGAAAAATTAGGTTTATGAGTTGGATTTGAAAACGACTACTTCTGAATTACTCAAGAACATCTTTTTTAATCAATTCAAGATGGCTGCCACAGCCAACTAAACTTGCAAAGACAACAATTAAATGTCAGTTTTACAGCCATTCAGCTAAAATTTGATTTATTAGTACTGTACCTGATTCATTCACAACATAATCGGAGCGTGACATCTCTTGATATTGCGACGGCACTTAATATTTTTTTCAAGATTTGACTAAAACAACAAAACAAAAGACAATCTTAGTATAAAACTTTGGCACGAAAGGAGACGGATTATATGGAATTCTAGGTCTTTAWTTTATTATGACTCATGYCCATAAAATTGCTTGAAATAGCKTTTGTATTTTGTAAATTGTTAATTTTTGCTCTTACTTTTTTGTGAACAAAGTAACTTTACTGAGACTGACYTTTGCAAAGCATTGGGGTGGTGGGCAGATAACTATTGTATATATTTGTTGCTTGCAGCTAATTTCTACAAACATAGTTTTTTAATGTTAGGATGTAACTTTCTATAAATTGTCCACAGCTCAATTCTTTTTCTTAATTCTTGTCTTAATCTGTCCTCACTTCCCTGATTTCTGCTCATTTCCTCCATGCTGACAGAGCAAACATGTTCAATATGGGACATGTGACACCTACCTGAGGCCCAGTGTCCCTGTGCTCTGCTAGCCTGCGGGAGTCTTTGAGTAGCAGAACTTCGTCATTCTTCAGGCTGTGAACGTGGAAAGACCTGAGGAGCTCACACAGACCCCCAGGAAGAGATGAGAGAGCCTGGGGGAGAAGAAGTACACACACAGATTGGAGGACAAATCAAGTGGAAAAAGCTTGTTRGTATGCAAGACAGGAAACTGCAACCTAGTGTTAGACAAATGGTTTGAAAGGGGGATGAAGGAAGCCATGTAGTACAACAAACAAGTAAAGAACAACTTTACACAAAAGTTTTTAAATTCCTCCATCCATTTTCTTCCTCTTATYGGTCAGGTCGTGGGGGCAGCAGCCTAAGCAGAGAAACCCAAACTTTCCTCTCCCCAGCCACTTGGACCAGCTCCTCTGGAGGAATCCCAAGGCGTTCCCCGGCCAGCTGAGAAACATAGTCCCTCCAGCAAGTCCTGGGTCTTCCTCTGGGACTCCTCCCAGTGGGACATGCCAGGAACACCTCACCAAGGAGGCATCCTAACCAGATGCCCGAGCTACCTCAACTGGCTCCTCTCGATATGGAGGAGCAGCGGCTCTACTCAGAGTCCCTCCTGGATGACCAAGCTTCTCACCCTATCTCTAAGGGAGAGTCCAGACACCAACGATATTATTCTTTCAGTCAYTACCCAACACTCACGACCATAGCTGAGGGTATGAACATAGACCGACTGGTAAATCGAGTGGTAAACCTCTGGTCTTAGCTCTYRCTTCACCATGACAGATCGGTACRGCGSCCGCATCACTRMAGAAGCAGGACCAATCCATCTATCAGTCTACCATTCTATTCTTCACTCATTCATGAACAAGACCCCAAGATACTTAAACTCTTGGGGCAGGACCTCTTACCAAACCTGGGGGAGGCACTCTACCTTTTTCCGGCACAAAACCATGGTTGTGGATTTGGAGGCACTGATCTTCATCCCGACCGCTTCACACTCGGCTGTGAACCACTCCAGTGAGAGCTGGAGATCACGATCTGATAAAGCCAATAGGACCACATCAKCCACAAAAAGCAGAGATGCGATCCTAAGGYCACCAAAACGAATCCCCTCAACACCTTGGCTGTGCCTAGATATTCTGTCCATAAAAGTYATGAACAGAATCGGTGACAAATGGCAACCTTAGCGGACTCCAAACTCTCGCAGGAAACGAGCCCGACTTATAAAGGCAATGCGGACCTCTCCAGGACCCTTGAATAGACCTTACCAGGGAKGCTCAGAAGTGTGATCCCCCTGTAGTTGTAACACWCWCAGCGGTCCCCGTTTTTAAATAGGGGRMCMMCMMCCYKG